TTGTTAAAAATATGTGTGGTGGCAGAGATTGCTATACTGATTAGGGGAAATCACTGCGTAGGTTGGCACGGAGTGGCAACCGAGGGTTTTCTACACAAGTAAAGCTGAAAAGTCGCCAGCTGATCATAACAGGACCGCTGTGACTTAAATCCAAACAACACAAGGGTTTCAAAACAATAAGCAAAAGCAAATTCGATGGCAATTAAAATCATTCCTGTACTGCAATGGAACAAGCTAGAATATAAAAATTTTCGAACTTTATTTAAATTTTAAATTGTTTACTATGAAAGTTCAAAATTAAACTGTCATCATTAGGCTTGTACAAACGAAAGTTTCAAAATTTCCAGCACAAGGCTTTTCGACCTCATTTCAATTAACAGCAAGAAGTAATAGATTATAATAGAAAGATGGAAACTTGAATCATTCAAATGATGAAACATTGATATCTGTAATAATAGTGTAGCTTATAACGTTATTATAAAATAGATTGATGTTCTATTAAAAAAATCAATTCACATTTCAAAGAATTGGAAAATGTGGTCTTATTTTGAATTTGTGTGATAAAAATGAAGTCATTTATTTTGATGAACAGTAGTTATCTAGGATATTATATTGTATTTATAAACTAGCAAATGTACCATAAGCATCATTGTTGCAAAGTTGAAAGCATATTTTGTAGAAAGAGCCTGCTTAAAGTCGTTTTGGAAGCAAGATGTTATATATCAATGAATGTATCAAGAATAATGAAGCATCTATAAATGTGTTTTGATCTATTCCGTTTAAAGCAAGGTATGAACCAAAATAGTACATTTAAATAAAAACAAGGAAAAATGGAGAAGTAAATGAATAAGGCTTTTCAAATTTGAATTAAAGCCCTGCTATTTTGCAAATTCAATTAAACACAAATTGTTTGCATCAATAAGCTTTTGTTTTCTAAAACAATGGTTATTACGTCGCAAAAGTGATTGCATAAATATTTCGTCAGGATTGTATTGTATCTTCCCTTCCTCGAAATTAACGAACTATCATTTGTTATATTAAACGATTCACTTATTTAGAACAAGTCATGAATAAATTGTACACAATAACTATAGAAATTGGCAACGATTTAGTAACGTTCAATGCAAACCTGTTTGTAATGTATCATAGACCTGACATGCGATATAAAATTTATTTGCATACCTTTTTTGTACACTTGGGAACCTGTGGGTAAAATGAAATTGGTTTGAATAATCACATTAACACATTGATAATATTAGTCGGTTTCCGGTACCGTATCAAAGATTTAAGACTGCCAGAACAATTCAATGGTGTCGCTACATTAGGTGATAATAGAAACTTTATCCGTGGCATTCGATTCAAATTCATGTACGGTCAACAAAATAAGTGGTTCATAGAATATCTGATACATGTTTTTTTGTTGTTGTTTTTTTTTAATCAAACAAATCGCTTGAATCATGAATCATTTATGTTATATTAGAACAATTTTAATTCTTATATTGATTTTACTGTTATGAAGAGTTCAGTGAATTTTATCATTTTCAATTAACAATGTAGCTGATCAGACATTTATACAGTATTAACTTTACCAAAAATGTTTTCAGAAAAAAGTATACATATTTAATAACAGACCTTTCATACGATGGTATATATCTTCAAACCATTTTATCAATCAAAATCAATTAGGAACATCCTTATGATACACTGCATTTAGACTGTTATCCCTTCTTTATCAAAATTTCAGGACATTCTGATCAATTGAATGGTTTCATCGTAACTATTTGATTCAAGCAATCGTTTTCTATAAAAAGTTGATGGGATGGAATTACATAGCTAAAATTTATAGTAAAATAAGGGAAAGGGCGAATTCCAAATCTAACACTTTTGTTTCAACAATAAATCATTTTATAAATATTTTATTCTTAACATATCGTACAATCAAAATGCTTTTTGGAATAATGCCATTTATTATGTTTCTGACTTAAGAAGAGATTAATTATGTAAAAGGAGTTACAAACGAATATCGCACATGGAGTATCACATTAACGCAACAACAAATATAAATAAGATAATTTATTGATCACAAATTTGAATTGGAGCACGTATATTTACATTAATAATAATAATGAATATTCTGTATCCTGTTAAATAGTTGATCATGATCTACTTTTTTAACTTCAAAGTTCCAATCAATCTGGTTTGACATTCATGTTTAGAAACTTAATAATAAACTACCAAAGTATAATATATTCACAAGAATGGATAAATATTCACAGAAGCTACCAAATGACCAAAAAAACGGGGCGTTTTCTCTAAAACAGTCAATGAAATCATACAAAAAAAAACATTAAAAAAGGTCGCTGACAGACTCGTGTGTAGGGGAAAGAGGCTGGCGGCCGGGCAGGGGTTCAATACTTAAATACAAAATAGGAGGAAGTAGATATAACCTGTCGACAACAGAACAAGATATATATCATTAAGGGGAGAGAACCTTTCAGGAAACGCAGCCCTTTATAACGTTGAGACACACTCGGTCACTGAAAGAAATTCGGCAAAGGCGCGCAGCGCACAAGCGGATAGAGGAGGTTACATTGTTAAGTAATAAACACAAATATAAACAAACAAGGGCCAATTTGCAAGACCATTCACTTACCCTGGAATGCACATTATTAAATTTAAGTTTAAGTTGAACCTCTCAAAAAACTATTTATATTAGTAAATAAAACACGTTTTACTCTTTTGTTTACCTTTATATATTTTTATTCGGTGTAGTGACAATTGTTTGACAATGAAAATTTTAGTATAAAACTGTAGCACTGTTTCGATACGGCGCATAAAATTTCGGATGATATTAAATTTTCACAAATTAATATCTTTTAAAATGATCTGTTTCAGTGGATCACAATAAGATATATAAGTGAACAATCATACAGTTTTGTTTATGTAAAGAAATCATTTGATGAATTTCCTTTTACGAGGAGGCAACATGATTAACATTATGTTCATCAGACCATTTTGAGAAGAACATTAAAAAAGTACATACAGTATATACTCAGCCTTATAACATAATTTGTTGTGTTCCTTAAACTGATTATCAGTCAGTGAAATCACTTGATTTTTACTGTCAAATTGATTCTTTATTGAAATGAAGTTTATAGTCAATTGTTGATTATACTTCCTTTAATGTCACTAAATCTGTTTTACAGTTTTCCACAGAGAATTTCAATACCCTAATAAACAGTTTCCATTTCATCTAATATGCGGCCAAAAATGTTCCAGGTACTGATTTATAATTGTTGTATTAGATGATTTTTTTATCTCCATTCTAGTAATTTTAATTAAATTCAAGGATCAATTGCAAATAAGTGTTTTTTCTTTTTTTAATTTTTTAAATTATCAAACATTTTATTGCATTAACATAACAAAGTTCAACAAATATGTTTTCCAGATGTTTGATCGGAACAAAACTTCTAGTCTCTTACATCAAATTGCTTTCTAAACAATATTCACAACATTTAGGCTTGTTGAAAGCTGAGTGTTAAATAATAAAAATACATTGACACTCTCCAATGAAAACTCATCATTTCAAGCAATCATTTCGATATACAGTGCTCTATTATATTGACAGATCAAATATGAAATTACATATACTGGTCATTTTAAAGCATATAATTTACTTAGAATTTACTTAGAAAGTATCTTGAATGAACTTAAATATTTCCTTTCCAGTGAAACAATTAAACAACTATTTAAAGTCAAATATCGAGAATGACTTATTAAAAATCTAACTACATTTTTGATAATATCATATATACTGGAGGCTGTCTGTTGATTTTAAATGGTATTATAGTGTTTAACGTTCCCCTTTATTTTATACTAACGTGTAGATCAAATGTAGTCGGTTCTATGTTATTCGCTTTTCTCACAGTAGTATTCTACTTTCTTTCCACTTTCATATGTACACTGCGGACAAAATATTTGTAACCGCAACACATAAGCCAGTTAAAACTATTTGCAAGCGTAGAGTGATTTCCTGATAAAAGAAATCCTTTCAAATTACTTTTCATGGCATGTTTTAATACTACCACACATCTTCGAACAGATGAGCACAGTTGCCAGTACTGTCATCGTTTCCCCTGACTTTGGTCGTGAACACACATCCATCTTGAAAAGAAAGGCTATCTCGACTATTTCGAGAGAATCCACTTACACATATTATCATTATTATTATTATTATTACTATTGTCATTATAATTATTGTCATTATTATTATTATTATTATTATTATTATTATTATTATTATTATTATTATAACTTATTCTTTGTAGCATTTTAAAAGACAAATACAAACTTACACTAATGTTTAAATGGATACATTTAAGCATATAGAATGGTTGAAAATTTAAGGCTTAATTTTTTATGTCTGTTATGTATATAATGACCATCATAAGAACTTTCGTAAAATTAATTTTAGTTATTCACTTTATTCCAGAATGATTGACTGAATGACTATTTTTTTAATAGAAACTGTCAATAGATGTTCATTATTTTCAGCTCAACCATTCTATCAGCTGAACTATATCAAACAGAGCATAACGTCTGTGGAATGAAACAGTTATCGTCAGTACAACTTAACAATTTTGCTACACTTTAAATAATTAACATTATAAATAGTCGAACTAATAGTCGTATCTAACCATATCATTTCTTTTGTTATATAATGTTTAGCTGTTTTTGTGTTTTTCCTTTCTTTCCAGTATTGTTTCTTAATAATCATGTTAAATTTAAGTAAAATATAGTATTGTCCGTTGTTTTGCTTTACGGAAAATTTCTTTTCACCTTACTCACTACGCGGCGAATAGAATAATAATGACCCCAACACGAGCGCCAGTTTATACCATTAGCGAAAGTAGGGTGATTCCCCGATAAGTACAGTCCATTCAAATTGCTTTGATGACAATCATTGTACCACCATGCTCGTTTGAGCGCAGTTGTTATACCATACGTCGTTATCCCTATCTTTAGTCGAGAACATTTTTCCATCATGGTCACTAAGACTATCACCGCAGTTTCCGGAGAAGCCTTTTACATGCAATCTAAAATTTGAATCTTCGTCGTCAACTCTGAACGTGTGATACTGTGCATAAGCATGTGTAGGTGATACGTCTTCAAATGCTTCCATTTCAAGTCTCAAAGAACTGTTTATAGTAGTAAGCCAAAATATATTCTCAAGGCCAAGCCAGTACTCCCCTGATCTGTTACCGAATCCACAAACATAATCCGTCCATGTTCTGTAGAAGTTTTCTGACCCATCCACTCGACGTTGTATAACTGTCCATCCACCATTGGTCATATCACACCACACATCAGTAGTAATACTTCCGGTTGGTTTGATCACATAAATACCGTCCTTGGTATAGCCTTGTTGAAAAAGCTCAAGGCAGTCAACTGGCTCTGGTTGCTTGTGTATTCTTTTTGTCTCTAAACTGCCTTCCTGTAAAGCAATTAAGTATATCATTTCTAAAACATTATGTAATTATTCTTCCTATAAAGTATTACAGAGAAACCCCTTTTAATCGGATTGATTACATATAAGAGGTAATTTTTTTATGTGCAACATGACTTAACACACATACGCACGCACGCACGCACGCACGTACGCACACAAGAAATCAACAACAACAATTATTTTATAATCTCTTTTAGCTTACATTGGTCAAGGAATCGCACTCAATATCGATTTTTAATTAAGTCCTCACTACATTTTTTTATTTTCTGTTTATGTATATTTAATACTGAAACCATTTTAGAGTTTTGGTGCTCAGTAAAGCTCTTTTTAATATTTCGTTTAACAACTTGGGCTATTACGGGCATAAATTGTTTATTATGAATAATACAAAACCATAATATAATTGTCTGAAGTAGTTCTTTTTAAATAATGGTAAAGCATGTAAACATTTTATTTTAATTGCAAACTTTTAACCAGAAAAGTTTTATATTGTTATTAAATATTTGGGCTTCGTCAGGGGTTAAAGGGTTCCAAAATTTAAAGGGTAAAATACTTAAATTGCTTATTTAGATAAGTAATTCACGATCACTTTAATTCTTAAATTCCATTCAGAATTAAACATATTGCTAGATAAACTTTGCTTGAAACGTTATACAAGATGGTATAATGAATTAAAACGAACGTTTTGGGTACGAATACAATTATTTAGGTAAGTGTTCCCGGAAATAAAAACTACAAGTAAAAGCATATTTATCTATGCCAAGTATCTTTTAAAGAAATACGTCTTGTTTGACATAACGGCATTTGCGTTATAAAAACAAAGTGTAAAAATGCCTAAATATTAGCGTTACGGTATAGGCGAATCGTTGAAAAGCAGATTTTTTTTTCTGTAAATACTTCTTTCTTTTTGGATTTGTGATAGTTAAAATATTGTATTCGTGTAGCTTTAATACTTATTTTATTGAAAAAATATTAGGGGATTATAAAATTTATTCAACCCGGTCAATAAATTCAGTATTGAACCAAATACTCATTCAATAACATCTATATAATATACAATTGTGTTATCTTACATAGGATGACACAGAAAATGTGAATACATTGAATTATATCATTTCTATTTTCTATTGTTTCATTACTGCAACAACTGAGTTATGTTAGTCTTATATTAAGGCAGTCTTACTGTAATGCTTTCCCGCTAAAAAAAACTAACATCGACCAATATCGTAGTTAATCGGTTATTTCCGGAACGTTATTTTTTCAACATGTTGGGCATTAGATTTTTTACAATCCTTTATCGCTATGAACTAAATTCCGGTTATAAACACTTAAAATTATTTGATACCAAATTTGGGCGTCGTCAGGGGTTAAAGGGTTCCAAAATTTGAAGGGTAAAATACTTAAATTGCTTATTTAGATAAGTAATTCACGATCACTTATAATTAATTCTTAAAATACCATTCAGAATTAAACATATTGCTAGATAAACTTTGTTTGAAACGTTACGATACACGATGGTATAATGAATTAAAACGGACGTTCTGAGTACGAATACAATTATTAAGGTAAGTGTTCCCGGAAATAAAAACTACAAGTAAAAGCAGATTGATCTATGCCAAGTATCCTTTAAAGAAATACTTCTTGTTTGACATAACGTTATTTGCGTTATACAAACAAAGTGTAAAGATGCCTAAATATTAGCGTTACGGTATAGGCGAATCGTTGAAAAGCAGACTTTTTACTGTAAATACTTCTTTCTTTTTGGATTTGTGATAATTAAAATATTGTATTCGTGTAGCTATATTACTTATTTTATTGAAAAAATATTAGGGGATCATAATAAAATTATTCAACCCGGTCAATAAATTCAGTATTGAACCTATACTCATTCAATATCATCTACATAATAAACAATTGTCTAATCTTACATAGGATGACACAGGAAATGTGAATGCATTGAATCATATCATTTCTACTTTCTATTGTTTTATTACTGCAACAACTGAGTTATGTTAGTCTTTTATTTTATGCTTTTCAGTGGATTACTGATTTATCCGTGAAAATTATATTTGATAATTTCACAGTGAAAATTATCAAAATATAATTTCACTTTTTTCAATGACGAAACTACTTTTATAAGATTTTCCCCATGTGGTACCTCAATTTTATTTTTACCGACAATTCTGACAATGTCAGGCTGTTAAAAGAAATAGCAAAGCTGAAATAGATAAATAACTTAAATGTCAAAAGTAACACAGAGAGAAAACTTACTTCTATTCCTTCAAATTCCAATCACCAAATTTTGTCTCTAAATTTTTTTTGTTTCGCTTTTACAGTCTGAAAAATACATTCCTTCCCCATGCAAAACGGGCTCTTGATGACATTTGGGCATATTAAAGTATCCTACGAGCAATAACTGCCGTATGCTTTATGAAAAATTGAAAAGCATTGACAGTCATCACTCGTAAAATAAGTTAAAACAACCCAGCGTTCCTTCAGCAAGCTTCCAATTTTTCCATTTTCCTAGCTCCTTTTCTGAATGTTTTCACTTCTGTCAACACTTATTTTTTGTCTGTTACAATCCTCAAATAAGTTTTCTTTCTTTTAAAAAGGTGTATGACTAACAAATCCAAATTATATCCTTCTGAATCTTACACAATTATTTTCCTCCCATGAAATACACAACTTTAAAAAATGGCTGCCGTTTACATTTTAGAAAGCCAGGTCTAATATAAATTCGCAGTAAGTAACAGAAATATGGATGGATGGTTGGAATTTTCTCCTGCAAGAATTGTTTGTTTTTATGATTAAAACAAGCGATCATTCATATTTTTTTAATAAAATGAATAAATATCACCGTCATTTAACCTTGATTGGCGGACTTATTTTTCAGCTCAAGACTTCTTGTTTTAAATGAGAAATTCCGTCTAAATGGGGCTCTCAATGGGGGAAACAGATTTTAATATTAACGTTAAAATTATGGAAATTTCGTTTTAACTTGTTTTTAAGCATAAAAGAAAAAGAAAATTTGTCTGTTTGTTGTGTAAGATGTAATTTTATTTCATCTCGTGAACTTTAAAAACAGTATTCTCACTCGTGGCTACGCCACTCGTGAGAATACTGTTTTTAAAGCTCACTCGATGAAATAAAATTTCATCTTACACACAAACAAACAAATATCCTCTATATATTATCTTACTGTCATGCTTTCCCGCCCAACAAAAATTCTAACATCGACCAATATCGTAGTAAATAGGTTATTTCCGGAACGTTATTTTTTCAATATCTTGGGCATTAGATGTTTTACAATCACTTATCCTTTATCGCAACGAACTAAATTCCGGTTATAAACGCTTAAAATAATTTAATACCAAAGATTGTAAAAATGAAATCCCGGATATGACGATTTGGCCGATGTTTTGAAAATACTGATAATTGCTACACGGTCTTTTGTAAATATAAAATAAATATGTTTTGACATTAGATGAAGTAGATACATGTATATTGTGTTTGAAACTCTACACACTGTAGGTCATCACAGTATGAATATACAATATAAATGTATAGTGTCATTAAAAAAGTGGCAGCTCTTTTTGAAGAAAGGACTACCTATTAGGAACGCAGACTCTTAAACATAATCTGTATGCTCTTTTTTTAAAATAAGACATATCCGGTAAGAATCTTATAGATTTCAATGAATTTATGCAATAAAAGAATTTTCTTCATTTTCTTCAAGGATGAGCATAATATATATTTAAGCAACTAATACAATGGACATAAAATAATTAACTTTATGCATTACCGGAATTCTGCAAGTTATTTGCAGAACGTAAAGATATGTATATGTGTTGCCATACTGTGAATAGGTTTACACACAAATACACATTGCCATATGTTATGTCATGCATTTTATGCTAAATGAGGGTCATCCGCCTTTTCAGGGAATTACAGTTCGGACCCGGACATGTTGCCAAGTATATCTTTTAAGACCATTTATTGTTTAAAGTGGTGTATATATTTTATTTGATTCTATTGATGAATAGTTCTACATAATGCTGTGTTGCAGGAGTGTCCATATGGCAAGTATATACATTATATGATTAATGAATGTGTTGCTGTCTTAACAAAAGACAGACCCGGTCAGGTGTTTCGAATCGGTGCCTCAGACATGCGTTTCGAGCAGACAATTTCACTCCGCCCAGTTTTCAAGCTCGACCAAGCGACTACAAATCGGTCCATTGCCTAAATATATCTAAAATAAATATTATATAGATTTAAACATTAATAAAAAAACAACAATGATTCTTACTTGAGTAAACGTTGTTGACACCGTCTCTGTTCTTTTCCCATGGATAATATTATTGTCAGTCTGCCCCTCCTCACCAGTGTTATTTTCATGACCGAAACAACAGAAACATGTTGCATTATTTTCAAAAAAGTAAAACGATGGCGATTCTAATTTCTGACAATAAAAACTGCATGAAATCAATGACTTTGCTTGTATTAAAGAAAGTGAAGGGTCATTTTTGGGAAACTGAAAAACTTTCTCTATCTCGAAAAAAGATGTCATCAATTCATTTCCTAAACCTTCAGCTGGTCCAAAAGAGTGGATAATTACAAAAATTAGCAACATGGCATTAAAAGAAAATAATCCGTACACCAAAAACAAATATATGCAATTATATTTTAAGATTCGAAGTGGTACTTGTTGAAGCGATTGAAAATATATACGACTGCGCAAGTACTCTGGTTGTTACCAGTCATTTATAGAAATTATAGAAAAGAAAAAACAAACATTTAATATATTAATTAATGAATTACAAACACCTTGTTGTTATGGCTCCTATTTGAATAGAATATTTACTTAGACGAATGGTATAACATAACCAAGCTATGGCAACAACACCGTGAACGATTCATAACTATTCTTTAAATAATAATGTGAATTAATTCATGGTTTAAATGTTTTGTTGTAATATGACAGTTAATGTTAGGTCAGTTAATGTTAGGTTAAGAAATATTAATAAACATTCCCTCTGGGAAGGGAATTTCTAGTTGAAAATTACAGTTAAATTTAATATCCAAACCGCAGTTTAAGTTTAATAATGAAATATATTAGTATGCTTATACATTTTGATGTTATATGATAGTAGTATTATTTTACCATAGTCTTAAAAACGACAAAAACATTTGCAAAAGATTTTTTTTATATTGATCATACATCATTGTTACGGGCAAAGTGATTCCATGCCTTGTGATTTAATGATTTCACTACGATTGGGTTAACAAGTGCGTTATTATCATATACCGAATTCATTTGTTAAATACCAGCTTGCAAAATTAATAAAAAAAATTATCTAATATGAATTTATGTTCTAAAAGTAAAGTTATAAATATACAAATGATATAATTTCATGCGTATGTATGGGGTAATAAAGCAAAATTGAAGTCACAGCTACTCTGTAGAAGGGGAAACAATAACCATTAACTGACAGAAGCGCTTTTCTGATCTCAACCAACTTGAAACCAGTTAAATATGCGCAGGTATTGTAGTACCGATCGAGTCTGTAAATATTCACTCAAATAACATAAGTAGTATACGAGGTGTGATCCGGACACAACTTTAAAAAATAAAGTAATTAAAGGGTCATTGCACCAGTAGTTTTTATGAGTTTGACCAAGTTTTGTGACGGACGGACAAACACACAGACAGATGGACAGATAGACAGACAGATCGAGAAATATATCACTTTTTTCGTAGCCCTGCATATACTTATCTCGGCTTGGATTACATTTCCAATATGGCAAAAGGGAATATGTAACTAGTTGATACTTGTATCTAAGCCAAAATGTGCTGATTTGTTTGGCATGTTTTGATATTTACAGAAAAAAAGCACCAAATTAGAACATGAAATACCCTATAAAATTCCTATAGTGAAATGGACGTTAACAAGAGGGTATTTCAAAACATGTTCTCAATTTGAAGCTATCTGGTTAAAATGAAATGCATCATACAATTACGCACAATTACAGATGTATCATTTATTGCAAAGCTTGTTCCGTTGACATACTAGTAATTGGTTTCAATTTTCAATTTCGTACAAACTGTTTTTAATACAAACGAGTTTTGCAATTCAAATGTAGTTTTTATAATTTTGATGCTACTTGAGGCACTATTATGTTAATAGTTTTTCATTGAGATTGATATGTAGTTATACAAAAATATGACTAATGTTTTCTTTCTGTATTATTAAACACTGACAATTCATCACAAAATATATTTTAAAATGTACTTTCAGCTCATCTTTATTCCCAAGTTTTGAAATAAATCTATTGCATAGCACTACATGTCCTTAATTTTAAGACATTTCATCTAAAATGTATTGAGAACTACAAAAGTCGTGTTGCACGGACATCATAAAAAGTTTGGTTAAACATAATAGGGTTTGGTTATATGTTTCAATTACCATTGCATACGCGAAATATTTAACATTATTCATTTTAAAATTTGTACTTTCAATTTAAACAGGTTGCTTTGTCTGAGCATTCCGTTTAAAAGTATGCCACTTTATTAAAAGTACAATGTTAGTCAATGTTCACAATTATAATACATTAAAGTCAGTATAATACCATCTAAAATCAAATGTGCACATATCGTTATATAGATATAATTATTTAACACTTCATAAATATAACCATACTGAATGCACTTTCAGCAATTGCACCACGTGATGTTTCAAGAGAAGTCATTATTGGGTCCAACCTTAAACTCGTTTTCATTTCTGTCCAAAACGTCCATATCAAATTCATATCACACCCATTATAGCTTCATTTTCTTGTTATAAATACCAAAATATTCAATTCAAGTCATACTCCATCTAGCTTCGTTTCAATTTTAAGATTCCAAAAATCCATATCAAATTCTTATGAGATTGAAATAATAAACTTTTGACAATATGTCAACAAATGGAAGTGTGAGATACAGAGGTCATTAAACATGTTTGAAAGCAATGATGTTTGACTGTACATAGCTGCCAAACTTATTTCAGACTCGGCTAGCGCCTCGGCCAATACAATGTTGACAGATGTTTACACGTCTAATATAATTGTGTTTTGAACTCGTATAATAACCTCATATTATTTAATAACGAATGAATATATACGATTATACATTCAAATCGGCACTTTTTTCTAGATCGATATGGTTTTATATCTGAAAGTCGCTTCATGCTTAACATTTTTTAGTGCACCTTTTAGGCTTACGTCTATAACTAATCTAAGTTCAAAGCAAAACTTCACTTTAATGTCGATGGACTTTGAACTGGAATTATTACGATTCAGTTCAATTGAGTAGTTAAATCATTTACAATAAATTATGCATCTCTTCAAAGTTCCTCTTCTTCACTGTTCATGATCTAAGAATTGATTACAATTACACTGAATGACCACAAAACAAAATCAAAACTGGCAAAAAGAGAATAATTTAACAAATATGCGAAAAAAATGATTAAGTCCAATCGAGGGGATACATCATTGATGATCAGTTTATATCGTCACCTTAGTGCAGTAAAGGATTTACTCCTTATATGATAGAACAGGAGTTAACCCGTAACTGACCTAAAGGGACGATATATCTGCAATATTCGGGCTCAGAACAAAAACTTTTTTCAAGAAACATAAGGCGCAGGATAACATAACCATATCAACACTGATGAGGTAAAGTAACGGGCAATCTCGTCGAACGCCGCCTTTCCTTGTTGATCTTGTTTATCATATTTTAAGATACAAAAATGCAGTTAACAAATTTATCCATTTAAAATATATCATCTAGCAAACTGGATGTTCTTTTGGAATGAAAATACGATTTTATGTTTTCTATATATAAGTTTCCTCAATAACTGGCATGTCTCCTAGGGGGACCTTCTTCACTCGCCCTTTCGGGATGGTCTTCTGGCACACGGCACACAATCTGCAGAAACGTCCCACATCTACCGTTATTCCTGGCAAATGGAAGCTTGTCAGAATTCTGTCCTCTGTCTTATTAGATGACAAATGTCCCCAAACAATGGATTCATGGGCAAGTTCCATCACCCTCTTCCTAAAATCTGTCGGAACGACAAGCCTCACCATATTTCTGCAAGTAGGCTCTAAAAAGCACACCGTTTTCCACCACGTAATTAAATCTGGCACCACCTTTGGTTTGCAGCTCTTCTGCCTTCTCTGCTAAGTCCCAAACATTTTTCAATGAAGAGTCACCTTTCTGGGATTCCTTCAATTTCTCTATGTCAACTTCAGTTTCGCAGGAAGGTTTTGGAACAGTCAAAGCTCTAGTTGGACGGTCTGCTCTCTGATGCCGTGCTCTCGTCATTACTGCTGCAACAGCTGATGGTTGTTCTGTCTCATTCCATTCTCGATCAGGCCTATCAAGTACTCCGGCAACGTTACCAATCACTAAATCGCATATCAATGACTTAAGCACCATTGCCTCTATCTCCCCAACATAGTATGGCGTATCTACCCATATTTTTGCCAAAGGTACTACTTTGGCATCTCCATCAATTGTTATCATAACCATTTCTTTACCCACGAGTTTTTCTTCTTTTACAAACTTCTTCTTTACAGCCGCTAACTCACATCCAGTATATCTCATCACTTTAACTGCATCGGCTCCAACAAAAACCTTCTTCAACTACAGGTTCCTTTCTTCTTCCAATAAATCAATGGTACAAGCACCCGCGAGGATCGGCACAGTCTCTCCACTGGCTAACTTTAATTTTCCATCTTCAGTGTTCTTCTCTAGTGGATTCAGGTCTGCTTTGGCTCATACGGCTGCTACCTTGCAGTCACTTCTTACACCTTCTGATTTTGTCTGCCTACAATCTTTTGCAATATGCCCCGTCTTGTTGCAAATAAAGCACACCTTCGGTGCTTGGCTTCTGTTGCTCTGTCGGCAGTCCCTGGCTAAATGACCCGCCTTATTACATATAAAGCATGTCTTCACTGGCGAATTTCTGTTCTCTGTCATTCTGCTTGATGTCTCTGGAAAGGATCTCTTGCCCATCTGCCCTTGTTTTGGAACAGGAGTACCTCTGGAAAAAACAGAAGACGCCCCTTTATGCGCTTCTATGCACTGCTCTGCAAGGCGTGTTAACTCTTCTATTGATGTCGGCACTCTTTCTTTCAGGAAGACGGCCAAATCTGTGGAACACCCCTCGATGAATTGTTCCTTGACTAAGAGCTCGCTTATTCCATGAAAAGTCTGCTCTACTCCGGCCATATCTGTCCACCTTGTGAAATATCGTCTCAACCTCTCAATGAACTGAAAAACAGACTCACCAGGAAGTGGTCTGCTCTGTCTGAACTTCACCCTGAAACCCTCTTCAGTCAACTGGTATTGTTTTAGAATAGCCCTCTTCAAAGTGTCATACTCGTTGGCTTCTTCAATAGGCAAACTTGTAAAAACTTCAAGACCTTGCCCTGATAGTAATGAGCTTAAGCTCATGGCCAAAGTGTCTCTCTCCCAATCTTTGCTGATGGCAAATCTCTCAAATCTCTCCAGAAATGAATCAATATTATCATTTGCTTCATCGAACTTAGGTATTCTTGGTCTGAGGGACTTGCGTCCCTCACTGGTGGCTACTTTGCTGAATTGATCCGCTCTTTCTCGAGATCTTTTTCCTTCATCTGGAGCTCAAAGCTTATTTCCATCTGTCTTCTTTCTTCTTCACGCCTTCGGGCCCTTTC